GACTGACTTAGAATTTTATTTGTTTTTTTTTAAGAATATTCGTTTTGTTATTTACATTTTGTTTTTATTTTTGCAAGAAATAATAATGTGGTATTAATTTGGGCTTTAAGAAATAAATGTTTGGTTTTATTTTTATTAAAAAAACATACTTTTTAAATTTAATACCTAATCAATTTTCTAGCCATCTTCCCCTAACCCCAATATTTACATGTAAAGATAGCCTCGTTTAGCGCTGTTTCGCATTACGCTCTACTTTGATGGAACGTATCCCCCGCGTTAAGTGGGGTCTTACTGTATTACGAACTCAGTCCAAAAGTAGTGATTTATATCAAATTTCAAATGTTTTTCAAAATGAAATTTCAGTGTAACAGCAAAACGATAAGGACTTGGTGAAATCCAAACAAAACACGAGTAAAATTCAGCACAGCAGATTTTAGAATTCCTATTTCTTTCACACTGAAAATATGTTTTGTCGCCTTTAAGCCCAGTTCACACCAATGCAATCGCACGTTATGCGGTAAACAATCAGAAGCGAGCTCAGAGGCAGTATTTTTTGGTCAACGAAAGACTGTGCGAGGTGACTTAACTTCAACTTTCGCTGCATCAGTTTCAGACATTTCATTTACATGTCCAGTTTATACCACAGTTTTAAAATATTTACACTTTCAAAAATTCTTCTTAAAGAAAATAAAAAGTCAAATGGTCTAATCCTAATAAAAATTTCAGATGATAATTAAAATCGCATAAATTCACGGAATGTCTTGATAAATTATTTAAAAGAAAATTCTCAAGTTTATTATCTGTAATACACCTTAAAATATCAACCATAAATGATATATGGCTGCTAATTCTTACAGAATAATTTAAAGCAATAGTTTGTTATGAGAAAAGAGTGACGGATTTTGAATTTTTCTTAAAATCTATCTACATCAAGGTTGATCCTGTTGCCTAAATAATGACTAAAAAGCTCACTTCCAGAGTCAAAGATTGTGGGCTCAAGCATCACCAGGGATGGTGTTGTAATACAGTTGGTACTTTGAAAAAAATATTTACAGAAACATTTATTGCTATTTTCAGAGAAACACAGATGCCTACTCAGTTTCCTGACGGTGGAGTCTGAAAACCTATTTTTCAGGTAAGAAACTTTGGCCTGGACTTAATTCGCTCAGTAGAAAATTCAGCTGATACTAAGGACTTGTATTGCGGGTTCGGGCCTTGCTTTTCACACCTTTGATGATGGTGCAAATACAGCAAATTTTGTATCTATGATGACTTTTTTTTTTTTTTTTTTTTTTTGGAAAACCGCTTTGTTTAAGCCTAACTCTCTCACGCAAAGCAGCATTTTCATCAAAAAATGGTGCTAGCTGATAAAGATAGGATTCCTTAGGAATTTGTTTACCATGTTTGATGGGCAGTGGGATGCCAGGTGTCCCACCCTTTTTTTACTAGTTTTTATCTCCCAGATGAAACCTGCAAAATTCCATTTAAAATGCAGACAATTACACCTTTTAGTTCTCTAAATGTATAACAGATGGCAGCACTAGCATTCTTTCCTGGAAACAATGCAAAATAAAAATTCTTTGAAGGATTAATTTTGAAGCAGTTTTTTATTTACTTCTAATGCAATTTAAATCGTCTGAACAACTTTTGGTGTTAGAATGAATATTTTTATGTGAAAGTTTCCTTTTCTAAAAAAATTATTATTTAAATTCATATACATTAATTAAGAATGGTTGAAATTAAAAGGTGGGACGAAATACGTCCCACTGCACATGTAGGAATTGCTACTAGTAGATGGCAGCACTGTTCAAATATTTTTTTAAATTATCATGTTCCTTTTATATGTTGATAATGCAAATTTATATTTTTTAATAAATTGCAATAATGTTAAAACTTGAAAAATATTTAGTATTTTTTCCAAAAGAAATGAAAATAAAACTCTGTAACATGAAATGTCATTGTATACTGAATGGATATGTAAGTGTGATTCACCATAGAAAAAATATCTTAAGCAGAGGAAAGAGGTGAAATGTGAATCATGATGGCCTTCTAAATATCTTCCTTTTCAAACCTGTAGCAAATAAAGTACTGGAGCGAAAACCTTCTCTGTTTCAAATCTATTATGAAATCATTAAAAAATATCTAAAAAGTCATACAAAGAGCGATTTTTTTTAAATTATGTAATTTTTTTGAAAAAAGCATTTATTTTGCAAATATGATCAATATTTTCTAGATAATTTTCAAAAACATTTTTTATATCTTGCATTTTCATTTGGTTGCTAAAACTAGCACTTTAGATAAGCATGTTGGGAGAATTTATGCTGTGGCAAAGATGCCATTTTACTGCTCTATGTGCAAGGTGGGACAAACGGTATCCCACCATGCCATGAATTACCCTAGGTTTACCTCTTTTTTCACATGAAATAACATTGTATAAGGGTCTAGTTATCTATGCGAAAAGTTATTTTTTCCAAAAAAATTTTTTTTTATGCACAGAACCTCAAAGGGTTAAGGAATTCTAATTCAGAAGGGCACACAATAGCTTACTTTATCCAGTCCTCTTGTGTCCTTACAAGTTCGGCAGTGTAAAGTCCCATTTCTACTTGTTGTTTTCAAGTTTACCAGTGAATCTTTAAGCATTTACTGTAATTTTCAATACCTTAGTTAGGTTATTATAGCTATCCAAATCTGAAACAAATCGAAAATCTGCCACTGTACATTTATTTTGTGTTAACAAACATTTCAAAATAACCATTTAAATTTAACCAGAGGAACCATTAACTATTTTAACCACTTTTCTGGTGAAAATGATTTTGACAATAAAATTTGCACCAAAATATCTAACAGTTTATTTATTTCCTGGATAACAAAATAATGATTGCATGTTATCTGAATCATTTAAAACACTTTGTAATAAAAATATCAACAATTTACATTAATTCAATGAAGTTTACATCACATAAACATTACAAACAATGCAGCATTTAAAAATTAAAACACACTGCTAAATTTCTCTCCAATATTGGCTTGATATGTTCTCATGTTCCAATACAGATGGGGAAGAGTTAATATCTTTTCTGTTTTAATTTAGAAGTCCAACAACAAAAATCAGCGTTATAGTTTCAAATTTTCACAGGACTAGTTTCCATGGTTTTACCGAACAATCATCCTCAGAGTGCTTTTGCAGCTGAGGATGATGATTCGGTAAAAACATGGAAACTAGTCATGTGAAAATTTGAAAATATAACACTGACTTTTGTTGTTTGACTTCTAAATTAATACTTGTTTGGCATGTTATTATATCTTAACTTTTTCTGTCTGATTTAAAATTATATTTTTACCCTCTGGCTGATCATCCCGCAATTTCCCCGGGCAACTCAACTGTAGCAAAATTTGCTCATCCCGCGATTTCCGCGGACATATGTTTTTCTTCCTTTATTGAGGAGCGGATCCCGTTTCCCCACATTTAACCATTGAAATAAATTATATACAGTATTAGGAATTTAGTTTATGTTTTTGGTCAACAGATATCGTTAGTAGTGCCGCTTTTTTCTTACAGAAAAGGCTGCTAGAAAATGTTCAGCGATTATCTTTATTATTTAATTAAATTATTAATTAGATTTATTAAATCTGGTGCAAAGACTGTGAAGTTGGACTTTGCCTTGAACCCTGTTTTGAACTCTATCATACTAAACTGCATTTCTAAGATATTTTTGCCTCAGTGCTTTACATTTTAAATTTTATATATTTTACTTTTTATGCTATGCAATAAATAGAAATGGGCTGTAATTCGACTGAAATTTATTTAAAAGAAATTTTTTTTGGTGATAACATCTGAAATTGGTTTTTTCTGGCAACTTAGTTTCTCCTGATAAAAATCCATATAAAAAATATTTTCTTGGGGAAAAAAATGCATTTTTCAATTCTCCAATATATATAGATTTAAAATATGGGTAAAAATAATGTGGAAGCGATTTTGGTCCACAAATTGAACATTAATTAGCATTACCAAATTGCAAGTAACTTCTTTACTTCAGATATATTTGCTATCTTCATGACAAGCAGATATTTTTTACTTAAGAGCACAGAATGATATACAGTACAAAGCCTTTAATCTGGACTCATCGGAACTTCGGCGATTCCGGATTATAGATCATCAATTTAAATCTGGTAAGATTGCATGCTGAAATTATAAAATTAAAAATATGAAACCGTAATTTATGAAATACAGAGCAATTATGATCTAAAAGATATCAAAAAAATTTACACACACACAAAAAAAAAAAAAAAAAAAAAAAAAGGTGGGGGAAGAGGTTAATATTTATTTGTTTACTTTATTAAACATTTCTTTCAATGTAAGTTGTTCAAGTTGCTTCGGATTTTGAGCTATTGTGCTAATACTTTCCTTTTAATTCTATAAACAGACATAATTTCTTGTTCTGTTCCACCGTTCAAGTCTTGTAATTGCTGTGTCGAGAATACTGAATAACTTGTCAATCGAAACTTTTTCGTTTTCAATAACCTCTCCGTCATTTTCTTCACTATCAGAAGCAGTACATCAAAACATGCTTTCACTGTGTAGATCCTTTGGCAGCTCCAGAATCAGAAACTCTTTTTGACATAATCGAAAGTTCAAGCTTACTTTTTATAAAATTGCTCTAACAGTCTACAAAAAATAATAAGCCGGATCCAATTAGAAGATTAAGGAACAATGCAATCTGCAACATTAACAGAAATAGATAATTTTAGCCTAGCTTATACTGTCCGTTATACATTCAATGCACATGTGTAAACATGTTATCCACATGCATAAAGGTATTATGCACATGCGTAAATGCATTATGTGTTTACGCATGCACAGAAAGTTTGTAGCTTTGAGGTCCGGATTATAGATCATTCCGGATTAAAGACTTTGTACTGTATAATAATTAGAAGAATTAACAAGAAATGGAAGATTTTTATGCATAATTAAGACATAAATACTGAAACTATTTTTCACTTTAACTGTCCAAAACTGAAACCGTGGTAGTGTTAAATACGAGAATGGACTTTGATTTATGTACATTAGCTATGCTGTAATGATTTCCACGTGGCACAATGAATGACCCACCTTTTTTAAGCACGAATTTCGACGTGTGAAGGTCTACTTCAACTTTGCCTTTAATTACATTAAAATAGATATCTTCATCAGGTGAAACATCTGGAGGCTTCTGACGATGTGGTTTTATGCATATAAAACCCCAATTTGAATAGGAGCTTTGAGACAAATTTGAACTACATTGAAAACATTTGGCAAAAATATAGTCATCAAAATCAGGGTCATTATGTTGAGGATAATCCCATACAAGAGAACTAAATGGTCTGATTACATCAGCTGGTACTTCCTCACCTATCGATACATCGACAACTGGTACTGTTCTTAAATCTTTATTTTCCGTTTTCCTAATAAATTCATGCGTCCTAATGGAAGCTTTATCAATTTCTGCTTCACAAAGAGTTACTTTATTTTTCATTTGCGCATTCTCACTTAATGGAAAACGTTTTTGTGCACTTGAAACGGAAATGTTGCCATCTTTCCGAAACTGAATTCTTTCATTTTTTGAAAAAGCTAATGGACTATATTGGGCACGAGGTATGAGTGATCGACTAATATTGCTATGCTCAGTTTTCGAGCAGTGGGATTTGGAATTTTTACTTGCATGCTTATCATTAATTTTAAAATTATGCAGATTTTCCCTTTGTGAAGGCAATTCTGATACGGATGCATCATCAAGATGACCAGGATGTACAGCTGAATATCTGGTTCGACAAAATTTTCTTTTCTGTTTTTTCCTATTTAATAATTTTTTATTAATTCGTTTGGTAGTTTTTATTTGTTTCTTATTTGGCATCTCATCTGCTTCCTTATCATCAATCAACAGATTATTGTTATCGCTTGGAGCAGAAATTCTGGCGCTGACATGACTTGCATTCAATTCCTTTCTTCTCTTCAAATTTTTATTTAAGCTTGATTGCATATTTTTCTGTTCTATTTTTTTATGTGAGTTTATAATTTCATTATTTACCACTGTTCCTAAAATTTCTGTATTCTCAACATTTTCAGAAATTTTATCTGAATTCAAATCTTTTGCAGTGATGTGGTATGAGTTGGTACCTTTAGAAAGTGATGGTGGTATCTTTACTGGAATTTTAGACTTAAATTTATGAATTTTTTTGATGCTGATTTGATCAAAATTCTCATCTTCAGTATCAGATCTTATAACTGCAGGATTCTTCTTCTTCCTAAATTGAAAATTTTCAGGTGACTGTACAGGGGATTTACTACTAACTGCAGTACTTTGAGTTACGGTGACACTTTTTTTAGAATTCACGTTGCTTTTAGAAAGCCATTTGACTTTTCTATGCATTTAATTCTTTTGCATTAATTAAATCCAAACTCTTTTCTTTATTGTAGCTCAACTGTCTGCTACTTTGAACGGAATTTTCATTGAGATTATGACCAGAATCTGATAAACAGTGATCGACATCAACACTTAACACTTGCACAGATTTTTCAACATTTGAAGTTAACATACTTTGTTCATGATTGGATGTTTGACATTGAGTTGAAACTGTTACAGGACACTCTTTAAAGTTATCAACTGGATATTTCCCAACAGTCTTACGCAGGTTATGCCTTGTGCTCGGAGTGTTAAATTGCTGATCATAAACTGTATGTCTAGATCTAGTCACAGATGTTGCAAGATCTTGGGATGATTTCTCAGAATCTGAATGTGAATTACTTAGTGATTTTTCACTATGATGAGGTGAAACATTTTCAGGAAGTTTGGTAAAGTCATCAACTAAGCGTTTCTTAACTGATTGGTACTTGGGTTTTGTACCTGGCTGCATGACACTCTGCCTTTTTTTAACTGCAAATGCCTTGTGCTTGGAGAATTAACTTTCTGATAGTATGCTTTATGCTTCGATCTAGTCAGGGGAGATGAAGTTACATCCTGGGATGATTTCTCAGAATTTGAAACTGAATTACTTAGTAGTTTTTTACTATGATAAGGTGAAACATTTTCAGGAAGTTTGGTAAAGTCATCAGCTAAGCGTTTCTTAACAGAATGGCATTTCGTTTGTGTTCTTGATTGCATGACACTGCCTTTTTTGGACTGCAAATGCCTGGAGCTTGGAGAATTAACTTTCTGATAGTATGCTCTATGCTTGGATCCGGTCAGGGAAGATGAAACTACATCTTGGGATGATTTATCAGAATCTGAATGTGAGTTACTTAGTGATTTTTCACCATGATGAGGTAAAACATTTTCAGGAAATTTGGTAAAGTCATCAACTAAGCTTCGGTTAACAGAATGGTGTTTGGGTTTTGTACCTGATTGCATAACACTGCCTTTTTTGGACTGTAAATGTGCTTGGCGGACTGCAAATGTGCTTGGACTTGTGCTTGCCGAATAAATCTTCTGATAGTTTACTCTAGGCTTAGATCCAGTCAGGGGAAATGAAACTGCATCTTCTGAATCTGGTGCATTTACTGATTGCTTAGAAAGAGAAGTTTTATTTTTTGAATTACCTTGATTTTTAATATCACCAGAATTGCTTTCAGTGGCAAGACCAGAATCCATTTTATCTGGCATATAATTCAATTTCGATGCTGACGAAGTAGTAAGAGTATCATCAGATTCATCGGAATCTGAAGTAAAGTAGTCAACGAAAAGTTCAATTCCATCTTCAAATTTTCGAATCTTCTTTCCTCTTCTTATGTTTTGTTGGGTACGCCGCCCAAAAGCGGCTTCAGCTTCCTTCATAGTATTACAATCTGAAAATAAGAAAAAGTCACTTACATGGGAGGGAAGGGAAAGAAAATCAATTTGTCTTATAAATACTACAAAATATAAAAGACTTCTTAATACTGATATTGCAGATTTAAGATATATGGTAATGTTGATATAGGATATGCACGTTATGTCCACCATTAATTTATAAATTTGAAATATAATAAAATTTATTTTGATTTATTGTTTTCTAATTTGATGTAGGAAGTTGGGACTCCCTTTTTTACTATTCATAGTAACAATTCCGGTTGAGATGTTTAAAAAAGTTGGTTTCTCTAAGCTAAATTTGAAGTGATGTGTAAATAAAAAGTTTTGGATTACTGAAGTAGCTTTTATAAGCTCCAAGTTCTATTAAAACATATAAAACAATTAGTAATTATTTAAGAAATAATAAGATGCTTAATTTATTTAGAGGGAAAAAAAACTGATACAAGAGAATAAAATCAAATAGGCTAATTTCAGTGTATGAATAGTCAATGTTTTCAGAGCTATTAAACAAATTTTAAAACATACGTTTTTTTTTTCAAACACTAAAATTCTATTTCCTGCATTTTAAAAATTATTTACAGTATTTGAGAAAATTAAGTATAAAAATGCTAACTTTTAAGTTAAACTGTGTTATTTTTGTGAATGATTTGTAATTTTAATAATGTAATGTTATTAATAAACAAATACATCACACTTTAGTATTTTCTTTAATAGGCTCTAAGCAATAAGATAAATTTATTATAAACATAGTTAACTGGTAACACCAGCAGTTGTCTTCACAATTACCTCTACAGAAGTCTAGTGTTAAACAAAGGTAGCTGTCTGTAAAGAAAGTACCATACTATTTTACATAAAAAAAAAAAAAAAAAAGTGTAGGCAGAAATGAGCATTAAATGTTTGTAAATTGAAATTCTTTTTGAGTTTTAATTTCATTCTGTTAGAGACAGAAATTTGCATTTCTCCCGTTCACAATTGCGCTGAGTAGAAAAGGTGAACATATAGTTCTGTGGATGGTTCCTGCCGAGTAGGAGACAAAGAGAGACGAACAGAGAAAGGGTAGTCTATCTTCTCGATTCTGAGGGTCCTGATATCTGACCTCCCTGCTATGCCTACCTGATGATGTTTGTCGACGTGGTCAGCCGCTGTGATTTTCTACAGCGTGGCGCAGAAACATGATGCAAGGAGCTCTACTACGGAACAGTTCAGTGGAAACAAGAATCTACTCAAGTATTCTGGATTATCTATCTACATTGCCAAATACCTGCCTATATGAAAAAGACTGTTAGGCAGGATCAATTCATAGCGTACCAATGTAGTACATTTCGTATGTTATCCATTGTATAAGTTTCTTAACATGTCAAAGTCTGAAACGTAACAAATCTATGTTGTTAAATCTTAAGGATAAAAGACACCGATTAAACTTTACGTTTAATATTTCAGCTTGGTGCAATTTATACTTCTGTAGCAGAGATCCTTCGCTCTATACCCACCACTACGCATAACTCTCAAGATTCTTCAAAGAACACCAAATCTTCAAATACGACAGGTTATGGGCCCAGTTGCCCAGTAACCAGGAGCTAGGGAGTAAAGTTTTTGCCTACCAAGTCCAGCAATAAGTTGAACATCGGTGATTTTTGGTGGAAACCAAGGTAAAAATTACTCTTCTTTCCTTGTTTTTTTTCTGAAAGTATATGTATCAGATGAACATAATGAACAAAAATATACAAATAGACAAATTGGATAACATTAATTTTGAAATATGGCGTTTTCAAGTGAAACTGGTTTTAATCCAGTCAGAACTTTGGAATGTCTTGAGTGGGCAGTTATTCAATCCAGAAACATACGAAAGTAACTTAGCCGAAGTTGACAAGTGGGTTTTAAAAGATCAGAAAGCTTTGGCAATTATTGCTCTTAGTGTGAAAAATCACACATTAAAAAATGTTAAACCTCGTACGAAGCGTGGATGAAATTACACGAAATTCATCAGCCTTAAGGCCCTATTACTAAAGTTAGTCTCATGAAGCAGCTTATCTCAAAAAGGATGAACACGAACAAAAACATGCAGGAGTATTTAACGTGTTTCTTCGAAATTGTAGATAAATTAGCAAAAATAGGATCTGAAATTTTCGAAGAGTTTCTTACCGTTTTCCTATTATGTAGCTTAAGCGAAGAATTTAAGTTTTAGAATAGCGATAGAATCTCATGATAAATCGCCGGACTTAAACATGCTAAAAGTTAAGTTACTAGAAGAAGCTAAAAGTCGCCAATTTAAAGCGCAAGAAAACAGACAAACTCAGGATGCGTTAGTTATGAAATATCACGGCAACGTCAAAAAGTCTAAAAAGGCAAAAACCTTTAAGTGTTATAACTGTAACAGAAAAGGCCAAAAAGCATCAGAATGTAGGCAAACCAAAAACAAAAGTCCTAATCAAGAATCCCCTAAAGTAAATTCTTTCACGATTGTTACTACAACACAAGAATTTGGAAGATATAAATGGTTCCTTGATTCGGAAGCAACTGCACACATGTGCAATGATAAAAGTATATTTATGTCAGTAACTGAGACAAAAAGTTAAGTTCAGTTAGCAAATTCAGTACAAAGTCTTTAATCCAGACGTCCATAATCCGGACCTCAAAGCTACAAACTTTCTGCGCATGCGCATAATATGTTTACGCATGCGCGTTTAATGTATAACGGACGGTATAAGCTAGACTAAAATTATCTATTTATCCGTTTCAGTTAATGTTGCAGATTGCGCTGTTCCTTAATCTTCTAATTGGATTTGGCTTATTATTTTTTGCAGAATGTTAGAGCAATTTTATAAAAAGTAAGCTTGAACTTTCGATTATGTCAAAAAGAGTTTCCAATTCTGGAGCTGCCAAAGGATCTACAAAGCGAAAGCATGTTTCGATGTACATCAAACAAAAAGTGGAATTGCTGTAAAAAATAGATAATGGCATATCCTTTCTTTCTTTAACCTTTCCGAAATCTGTTTATAAATTTCACACTGCTTTTTTTTTGGGGAGGGGACGTCGCAGCGCGCAATGAACTGGAAGTTGATCTGTCAGCACTATTCTCATCTTCAGGGCAGATGCTTTTATTTTATTCGGCTTATAATTACTTACTAAATGTAGTATTTCATCTCGATGTACTCCACCTTTGATATGATTTAAATCAAATTTCTCTCATTATAAATATCATGAATACACATCAAATAGTTTTCTGGTTGCAATTTTCTAATTTCGACTATGCGTAATGTATGCTTTACGCATGTGCACGTTGAAAGAAATGTTTAATAAAGTAAACATAAATATTAAGCTTTTTTTTTTGCAAATTGTGATACCATTTAGATTATAATTGCTCTTTATTTCATAAATTACGGTTTGATATTTTTAATTTTATAATTTCTGCATGCCATTTTACCAGATTTAAATTGATGATCTATAATCCAGAAAATCCCCTAATCCGGAGTCGCCGAATTCCCGACGAGTCCGGATTAAAGACTTTGTACTGTAATGCATTTTTAGAGGTTAAAGGGATAGGCAAAAAATTTATACAAGAGTTTATTCAAGTTCACAACGCCTAATACTTAATGATGCATTATATGTTCCCAATCTAAAATTGAACTTAATTTCAGTTAATGCAGCAACTCAACGTAAACGTACTGTTTACTTAAGAAATAATCATGTGTGGATTAAAGACAAAAATAAGTAAAATTGAAAGTAAAAATTGAAGCAAAATGGTCTGTATGTTGTAAATCAACAGGATGTAATTGAGGTTTCAAATGTTGCAAAGCGTAACATAAATAATTCAAACAGTAGACTGAAATTATGGCACGAGAGATGTGTTCACTTAAATCTAGCCGATTTAAAAAGAATGCATTCCTACAAATTGCTACAAGGTCTAAATATTCCAAAATGTAATAATCAAACTCTACTTTGTGAAACTTGTATGAAATACAAAGAAACAAGATTACCGTTCCCAAATGAAAAGCGATGAGTAAACCGTGAAGTACTTGAACTTGTACACACTGATATATGTGCTCCTATGAATGTCACATCTTTACGTGGTGCAAAATAATTCATAACATTCATCAATGACAAATCGCTAAAAATTACTGTGTACACCTTACACAAACTGAAACCCTTGAAGCATTTAAAAAGTACAAATTTCAGGCTGAGAAGTAAACTGAAAATATTCCACAGCAATAATGCAAAAGAATTTAAAAGTCAAGAATTTAATCAATTCTTAGAAAATCAGTGCATTAAACGCCAATTTTCAGTGAAGTATAGACCACAACGACAGCAGACGCAGAACGTGCCAGTCGTACCCTAGTTGAAATGGCCATGTGTCTGCTGTTCAAAGCAACATTACCTCAAAGATTGTGAGCAGAAAAGGTGAATACAGTCGCCTAAAAAAATATAAAAATATTCATAACAGGTGTGCAACTAAAAACAGATAAAAAGCGCCGAAAGAAATATGTTCTAAAAGAAAGCCTACAGTATTTCATTTCAGGATCATAGGAAGCAAAGCTTTTGCGTTAACAACTTTAGAAAAAAAAAAAAGTGAAGAATACGTTCTTGTCGGATATTCTGAGGAAGCGAAAGCATATCATCTATGGAAACCTGGAACTTCTGAAGTAACACAAAATCACAATGTCAGATTTTTGGAAGACTCGGAATCTGAAACAAGCTCAAAAACTTCAACTGAAGGCAAACAGAAATTCATAGAATTTGTTCCTGTTGAAGAAAAATCTGAAATGCCAAATGAAGGGAAAGCAGAACCTAATTAAGTAAACACAATTGAATGTCATAGTTCAGAAAGAGGACCAAGAAGACCTAAGTTTCTCTAAACGGGAAAAACCAGGCAGACCAAGAAAAATTTATCAGCAAAAACAAGTTAATTTGGTAAATTCTGAAGTTTTGGGTGATCCAAAAACTATGGAAGAAGCTTTATCCAGACCAGATAACTGGACAGCAGCTATGCAAGAATACA